CCCCAAAACCCCAAAACCCCAAAACCCCAAAACCCCTTTAACTCAGAAATTTTTTGAAAAATTAGATTTTCACTTAAAACCTCCATTTCCCTCAAAATCTTCGTAAAAAATGAAAAACTCCCTTCCTCATCACACAAGCTCTCCAAATCTCCAAACCACCACCTCTACTCTTCCCATAAAAGCCTGAATTTCCCCTACCGAAGAAGAGAGGACCAAGGCTGACCACGACGAAGCCCCTGACGAAACTAACCTAGAAGACCTTCAAGCCCAAGCTCCCTTACGAATCAATTACATCAGAAAACGAGAATGGAAGGCAGCCCAGAAATTCCAAATGGAAGCTATGGTACAGATGCATAGTCATTTTTACGAAAACCAGAGAGAACAATTCCACGCTTTGAGAGAGACGAGTAATATCCTTTTTGTCAGGAAATTTAACAACTGGTGTAAGAGTGTCCTGATCAATGAGACCTGTAAGACCAAAGGCCGCTTCCTTAGCGCTCTAGATATCTGCTGTGGCAAAGGCGGGGATTTACAGAAATGGGCCAAGAACCGAGTTACTCATTATGTTGGAGTTGATCTCTCTGATAACTCAGTGAGAAATGCTTGAGAAAGGTTTAAAAGAATGAAGATTAAAGGAAGATTCCCCTTTCATGGGATTTTTATGGTCAATGATGTGGGAAACAAGAGCAATTCCTTCCTAAAACATCTTGACAAAAGAGTCAGGTTTGATATAGCTAGCTGACAGATGAGCATGCACTATCTCTGTGAATCTGAAAGTACAGCCAGGACTTTCCTCAATAATGTATCTTCCCGTTTGGTCCCTGGGGGCCTTTTCTGAGGTACCACCCTCGATGCTGATGTGCTTATTAGAAGACTAAGAAAGCAAGGATTAAATAAAAAGAATGAGACTGAAAAATATACATTTGGAAACCAGTTTTATAGCGCTAAATTTATGCATAGAGATTTCCCTAGGAAAAGAGCATTTGGCATTAAATACCTGTTCTACCTAGAGGATGGAGTTGGCCATAAGAGAATTGATAACTCCATCGAGTATGTTCCAGAATATTTAGTCATTTTTAAGAAATTTATAGAGCTTGCAAAAGAGTATGATTTAGAGTTGGTCAAGAGAGAGAACTTTCATGATTTCTATGAGAATTACATCAAGAACAAAAAGCATAAGGATCTGTTTGACAGAATAGTAAAACCTCATCAATTCTCATCAACGATGACTAAGGAAATTTTAGAAGCTCAATGGGAGATCTGCAATTTATATCAGGCATTCACTTTTAGAAAGATTGAAGGCAAGAAGTCCAAGAATAAAGTGAAGGGAACACAAGGAAAATGTGGAAGAGAGCGTGAAGACAGATTTGTGTTCATTGATACCAACAAATAGCTCCTAATTTACTAAACTAATTTTATGAACTTTTAAATTTACTTAAATATGCAAATTTTATCCATCAATTTTTTTAGACTAAATTTTCAGTTTATTAAGAGTGAAAGGGGTTTTGGGGTTTTGGGGTTTTGGGG